ATAATATATATATATATATATATATATATATATATATATTATATATATATATATAATATATATATATATATATATATATATATATATATATATATATATATATATATATATATATATATATATATATATATATATATATATATATATATATATATATATATATATAGACAGGCTTGGTCGGGAAGCGGGAGCGATCGCTCTCGAATACTGACCACGGAAATTATATTTAGTTGCGAAAAACTGGCCAGGTTTTTTAGTCGTTTTGAGAACATTTAAGTTTATGTATTATTTATATATATATATATATATATATATATATATATATATATATAATATATATATATATATATATATATATATATATATTTTTAGAGTTAGTTATTTTGTAATAAATATATTGATTATAATATAAATTTTTGTTGGTTATTTTTTCTGTAAAGACTTCTATTTTTCAATTTTAATTTTTCTTTCACAATTTTATTATTGTAAAATAATCTTTTGAACATGTAAATAAATTTTATGAAACATGTCAAGAATAAAAAACATTATTATTTTTAAAAATAAATATATATATATATATATATATATATATATATATATATATATATATATATATATATATATATATATATATATATATATATATATAAATATATATATATATATATATATATATATATATATATATATATATATATATATAATATATATATATATATATAGACAGGCTTGGTCGGGAAGCGGGAGCGATCGCTCTCGAATACTGACCACGGAAATTATATTTAGTTGCGAAAAACTGGCCAGGTTTTTTAGTCGTTTTGAGAACATTTAAGTTTATGTACAAAACAAAAAATTTTTGTTTTACGGACATACATGGAAACATAATAAACTTAAATGTTCTCAAAACATCTTTGTGCGAAAGAATAAAAAGAATATTCGCGAACACTAAAAACCCGCCAAATTAACGAAGAAACGAAATTAAGAAGAGTAATCTGTTGAAATATTTTTAGAAACGATTTGTTACGTTTTGACATTTCTAGCATCACTTGTTTTAAGAATAAATATATTATTTGTTTACAAAAATAAAAGTTTTAAATATATATTAAATTGTCAAAATGTTAAAAGTTTATTATAAATTATAGATTTTATTAGTATATTCTTATTTTTTATTTAAAATGTATGTACTCTTTATGTAAATTTAATTTTGTTTATCTGTTTTTTATCGTTATGTATCTTTAAAAGCAATTTTTACGATTTAAACAAAGACTTACAAAAATAATTGCGTTTTCAATGAAGTTATAATCGTTAAAGTTAATAAAACTAATTACGTAACAAACATATAAGAAGTTTCTAGTTACTAAACACTGTTTGTGTACAAAGTAACTCGCAGATGAACAAGCACCGCGCCTGAGGTCACGACAGAACACAAATATATATAGCAAATAATTAGATATAAAGAAAAGTTACTTGATATTGGTTTACTAACTCTAATTATTTTCGCTTAAGTTGCCATTCTAAAAACTCGTTATACTTTTTTCTGCTTTAAATACAGATTAAAATTAAAAAGCCCACTCACTAAACATCACCAGAGATATTGTGAAGCAATTTCGCTTCCTCGTCATGAAGTATTTTTAACCTTAAGTTGATTTCTATATTGTTAATTTAATAGTAATTCAATGATTTAATTATTTGTTTATCTTACTAAGAAGAAACGCTTCAAATATGTTAAACTTTTCAAACTACGCGAAACATAAAATAGGTATTGAAAAAATTAACTTTATTATTTATAAAATTGTTTAGCTAAAATTAAACTAAAGCTTGCATACTTTGTTAAATAAAGAATATTCGTTTCCTCTTTAAACAATCGTTTAAAGAGGATTTGTTATTATTATATAAAAAACAACGCTTAATTTTATAAAAAAAAATTTTATATGTATATATATATATATATATATATATACATATATATATATATATATATATATATATATATATATATATATATATATATATATATATATATATACATATATATAATAATATATATATATATATATACATATATATATAATATAATATATATATATATAGATATATATATATATATATATATATATATATATATATATATATATATATATATATATATATTTATATATATATATATATAAAGTAAACTACCGATTATCCGAACTGGCATTTAGAATTTCATTTTCAATTTTCATTCCCTTTAATAAACTCATGCAAATGCCCATCAGTTACTTGAACCTTCAGTTAATGGAAACAATATTTTTCTCCCCTTTCACGGTCGTTCAGACTTACTAAATAAGTGGAAAGTTATTATACGCAAGCGCAGTAAAGTTTGCATATTTTAAAAGTTTTAAAAATGGCTACGGATAACGAATATAAAAAAAATTCTCACTGACAACGAGCTATTTTTCTAATTTTTAGCAATTAAATATGGATTTAGCCATTAAAAGGAAATTATAATAAAAGTAACTTCTAGTACACGATAAAATGTTTCAAATTAAATATAAAACCTCTAAAAACGAATAAAATGTAATTACAGCAATAGCTTTTTTAGTGTGTTTTGTTTATCGTTTTCAAATTGTTTTTAAAAAAACTTTGAGCGTAGAAATTTTTAAATTTTAACTTTTTCAGATAGATGAACTGTTGATCTTTTTTAGAATGTTTACTGATATTAGTATTCAATTTTTTTTCAAGATTAAAAGATATTTTTTTAACATTAACTTTTAGTAAGCTGTTGCTAGGCTACCCTATAATCACAATACATAATTACATTGATGTGAGTATATATATATATATATATATATATATATATATATATATATATATATATATATATATATATATATATATATATATATATATATATATCATATAACAAGAAATGACTTTTAAAGA